GTGCTATCATCTAGCCTAGGGAGGGTGACAGGGAAGTGGTCAGCTTTGGGAAGAGAAGTTAAGATGAGAGCTGAAGGACGTATATACATTAGTCAATCAACAGGGAGGAAGCATCTCTAAAAGACTTTGTTGTGAGGGGGCATCAAAGAGCTTGGCCAGTTTAGGAAAACAGACTGTAGTTGAGGAAGTGAGGAGAGAGAGGATAGTCCAGAGATGGGCTGAATCACAGGGGTCCTAGGCTAGTGAGACAGGCAAGATCCTTAACCCTACTGCACTGTGAGTTTAGCACTGACTTTGGACCTTTTTCTAGTCAGATGTTGACTCTGACTATAGGATCACCCTAACCTGACTTGCACGCTTTTTTATTTTTATTTTTCATTTTAATTTGTTTATTTTTATTTTTTAATACTTTTTTTTCTAAAGATTTTATTTATACAAGTGCTGGGGTACAGGCCAGAGGCGCGGGAGGGTGAAAGGATTCACCAGAGACAGAGTGGGGAACGGAACAGGCCGACGGACTGAAAGCACTGCTGAGGGGAGCAGCAGGCGAGACAGGAGAGGTCTGCGGCACCATGTGGGTATCTCCCTGGCTGGCTGGGAATCGAACCTGTACTGCAGAGGCTGCAGACAGCTTCGCGGCTCTGCGCTTAACCCACTGTGCCACTGGGGAGGCCCTGCATGCTTTTTTTAATCTTCAACTCTCACAAAATTCTTCTCTCCTGCAACCTCAAATATTATATATTGCCAAACCCACAAAATAACCAACCCATTTTCTATTCTGAGGCCCATCCTTGGCTCTGCTCTTTTTACTGCTTCTGCCTCTGCCTTTACGTTCGATCACTTTGCTTCTCAAAGGCATCTCCATAAATTACAAACTTCATACATTATAAACTTGGAAATTAATATTCAAGCTAGTCGGTTTTTCTCCCACTAACTTCTCTAAAATTGTTAGGAGGACAGAGGGGTGATTTTTATTTCCAATTCATATCATTGCTATGGTTATACCACCTCATCCTCTTAAAAGGAATTCATGGGCCGAGAGGCAAATACATGAACATTAACCTTCAGGAAGTCTCAAGGACAGTGGAGAGATGGATTTTCCCCCTAATAGTCATGCTTTCTTCAGTGAAAATTCTCCCAAAAATATACTAGATGGGTCACGTAAATATAAAAAGAGTTATTTTGACTTTTGCAATGTAAAATATTGAACCCACATATGGGGATTCATTTCCTTTCAAAAACTGTTAGGATAGTCAATATACTTTTCTCCCAGCATTCAACATATACAACCCAGACTGTCTTTGTCAGTCCAAATGGAAGTCCCAGTTGCAATTTGCAATTTGATGTTAGGAAGAGTAGTGTTAGTAACAGATACTCTGAAAAAGCCTGGCATTATTTTTTTTTTAAAGATTTATTTATTTATTTATACAAGAACCGGGGTACAGGCCAGAGGCGCTAGAGGGTGAGAGAATTCACCAGAGACAGAGCAGGGAGCAGAACAGGCAGACGGACCAAAGACACTGCAGAGGGGAGCAGTGAGTGAGGCAGGAGAGGTCTGCCGCGCCATGTGGGTTTCTCCCTGGCCAGCCTGGACTCAAACCTGTGCTGCAGAGGCTGCGGACAGCTTCACCGTGCGGTGCTCAACCCGCTGAGGCCACCGGGGAGGCCTAAGCCTGGCATTATTTATATAAGTTAATTCTGTTTTTTTTCTGTCCAGCATCTTTTGCCTTCCACCATACTTCCCAGTGTTAAAAACATTCTTTTCAGTAATAATTCTGACAAGTTAGTAACAAATCCACAAATTCCTTTTCAGCAGTAGATGATTCACAAACAAGATACTGACAAGTTTTTATGATTATAGCTTCTAAATTCCTGGTCTCATAAGAGTTTTCATAGAGATTGATAGATATAAAGAAAAAGAAATAAAAAAATGAAACACAGAGATATAAATAGGCTTTTTCATTAGAATGAATGATGGGAAGAATTGACCCCACCTAGTAACACTCTTCAAATTGTGAGCTTTTTATTTCATTGTTTTTTAATCTGTGATCTCAGTCTTTATAAGAAATTTTTAGCAAAAGAGGCCCTGAGGTAACTAGGAAGATGGGTGGCTGGAAATAAATGTTTGCGCAAGCATTTATTACTCTTCAGAAATGTCCATCAGCTGAAATGCTAGTCCCATAGAACCACTTAAGTAGTGCAGAGGAGAGAAGCAGGTAGCTGTTATTAATTTTTAAGGCTGGCTGACAGCTTTCAGTCCAAGAACAAGGTTTAACTTTGCATTTTGAATAATGCAGAGTTTTTCATTATCTAGAATAGGAATCAAAATGATAAATGATATTTTGTCTGCCAAAATACTGTGACATGACATTATATATTTGCAGGTACCTTTTGCAATAAGCTTTCCAGAAGTATACTTAGACAAATTGGAAAGCTACCAGTATTTTTTTTTATGTTAAAACTTTGGGAAAATAATTCAAAGGACACATCTTCTTGACTGTGGGTTGGTAATGTCATATCCAAAGGGCAGTTTTTTATTGCACCCAAAAGCTAAGTGTTGGCACAAATCATACTAGACTATGAGATCATTGAAATTGGCTTCAGACACTCCTTTTGCTCACATCTGCCTTCTGAAGACTCTGGGACAATTTAATTACAATTGCACTTTTGATTCCTACTTCTTTCAATAAAAAATGTAAAATTACCCTCACTTGAGAACTATCAGACTAAAAGGTTTGTGATTGCTTTTCACTGTCATCTCTCTTCTAGCAGATTATCATGTCAGGTCGGGCCAGGGCATATTTACTTTGGTTTTGAGCATCAAAGGCTCTTTCTGGCTCTAAGAGTTACTTGAATGGATCGTAACGCAACTATTATATCCAGATGTCTCTCGGTAACTTAATGTATGGCCCTAATAACAAACACTAGAATTAAACCATTAATAGAATAGGCTGCTAGCAGCTGCTTCAATGCCAGTTTGATGGGCATTAAAATAGCTGATTCAGAGATTTCTATAGAGAAACTTAAGTTAATTAAGGACACCAAAGTCAATGACACTACTATATCTGTCAGTAGCAATACAATCCATATATACTGACATTATTACCCTGAAAGAAGGCTGATAGAAGGTCAAAGAACATTTAACCAATTTAGATGAGTCTTTTATTTTGCATGTCACTTTGGATTTCCAAGTTTTGCTTAAAATCAGCAGCGTCAAGGCTTTCTTCTACTAGATAAAAGAATACTATTGATCAACCTGCCTTTTTCTCAAAAAGTTAGGGCCAAGCATTAGTGTTGTTTGTGCTCCTCCAACCAGGTCAGTGAGGAGGAAAAGAAAGAGAACTCTTGGCACTTACTGAAGGGATTTATTTACAAGGGTTTCAGTTGGAATTTGCCAGTCTATGTATCAATTTTTTTTTAAGATTTATTTTATTTATACAAGAAGTAGTGTATAGGCCAGATGTGCGGGAGGGTGATAGGATTCACCAGAGACAGAGCAGGGAACAGAACAGGTAGACTGACAAACTACACTGCTGAGGGGAGCAGCGGGAAACAGGAGAGGTCTGCCGCGCCATGTGGGTTGCTCCGTGGCCGGTGGGGATCGAACCGGCATAGCAGAGGCTGCAGACAGCTTCACAGCGCTGAACAAAACCGCCTGCGCCACAAGGGAGGCCCATACGTATCAATTTTTGAAGTATTTGTTCAGTCCCAACTCTAATAATTTCTTTTAGGTCCCAATTCCAGGCAAATTTGTTAGTGCTTCACGAGATGTTTTTGGTTCGTCAGCCTCATAGCTGTAAGTCAGAAAACTGCTGCTGACTTTCCAAACAAAACTGCTGCTGATTTTCCAAACATTTCTTAGACACATTGCGGGACTACTAATGGAACCCCTGAAAAATAGACTTTTTGAAGTTAACCTCAGTGTGGGAAGTGTTGCCATTACAACTGCACTTTTGAAATGCCACAAACTTTCTGGCTCATTTAGCATTAAAAAAATTCCCAAACAAACGATGCAGCATGTTTGCATGTTTTCGCTGCCTGATGAGTTTAATCAGAGTCTAATATTTCCTCCCCTTGGTCAAGTAAACTGAAGTGAGACCTCATTGTCAACTAGCTTCCTGGTCATATATCACCACATCTAGTTGGTGGCAGGCATTCCTCAGCCCTCTTTAGAATTGTGTTCTAGAAAGAAGTTATAATGGCTAGCTTAACACCCCTCTGAACTGTACAATTCAGACGGTAAAGTAACCTGCAATGATAGATATTAACCAAGTTTTAGGAATGATTTGTTTGTCTATAACAATTTACTTTTTAAATAATTTAATATTTTCTTTAACATTATGTGAGTCCATACAGAGTTGTACTAAGAAGTGTCTTATAGGTGAATAGTTGTTCAATAAATGCCAGTTTTTGACCTATGTTGTTAAATGTTTACCCACATAACTTTAGGTCATAGGTCTTTTTTGAGTGTTCTGTTAAAATATGATTATTTAAATTTTTAACCTCTCGCAAATTCTTTTCAGCATCACTTTTTAAAAACATATCACGTTAAAATTAGTCAATTTAATTTTCTCGGAGCATTTCATATAGTTTACATGCACACAGATCTTGTAATGTGTTGTCCTGATGTTATTTCTAACATATTTCTAAATTTTGCAGCCAGCATTCTTATAATTGGTGATGGATAAAAGAGCTCCTAATTTTCTACTCAGTATAATGTTTAGGTCTCTGATGAAAAGTCACTAAGACTTGATATGACAGCAAACTACAGGCTTCTGTGTCTCTGGGCATCCTGCCACACAAGTTGGGGGCAGAGTTTCAATTCTTAACACCATTTTATTCATCTGCAGGTTAGTATGTAAATGTTTGATTGTAGTTTAAATGCTGAGTTCAATCATTTTAAATTCCAAATATGAAAGATTTCATAGTTCTGTAATGAGTTCTTTTGGAATCTATATCTCTTCCAAAATAAGCTGATAGGTAGATAAAATAGTACTTACAGGTATCTTCTTCTTCCATGAAAATACTGATCACATAACAGGCATACACAAAACCAACCAACTGCAAAGGAGAAAAAAAAAAGTACTTTAAGAATTTATGTCAAATGTCCATCATTAAAGAGTTTATGTAATCTAATAAAGATTAGGACTGTAGAATAACATCTATGAATTTATAATAGAAAAAATCTTGTTATTAAATAACTTTGATATTAAGTTTTTTTTTCATTTTCACTTACCTTTAATAACTTTCTAAAAATAGGTAGAAATTGTTAAAAAAACAATTACTAGATATTCTACCTAGATTTTGATTTGGAATTTACATTTCTTGTATTTAAGATTCACCACAGGTGATTTGAAACATATATTTTTTAGTTTTGCCTATGTAGTAACAAGCATCATTACTGCTACATTTTAATGTTTAACATGAGGGTTAATTTATTTTTTGAAAAAGTAGTCTTATTTATTTATTTATTTATTTGTAAAATTAATTTATGTACTTGTGGGGATACTAGGATACCCCCATCAGGTATGACCACTATAGTGCACCCACCACTGAACTGCCCATTGTCCACCACCATAGCCCATTGTGTTTCCTTCCCTCTTTAATACCAGATGGTGTCACTTAAGAAAACCAAACTAAGGGTCAAATAAAGGCAAGCTTAAAAATTAACCCTTGAAAGATGGCTATAGAACTGAAGCACCCGGAGAGGGAGAAGGAGTGGTGTGGAGGGGTTGGGGTATGGGTAAGAACAAAAAAGGATAATAATAATGTTTAATAGCCATGAAATTAGTCAATCACAAATTAAATACCAATCTTCTGCTTAATAATTTAAAATGATCCAAAAGTTTAAGTTCTGTTTAAATACTAAATTGTTTTGTTGATTAAATTTGTAAGAAAATGCATTATCTTTCAGGTCATGGGTCATAAAAGAAAAGGAAAAGGAAATTTATATTTTAGATACCAGAGGTTAAGAAAATAGATTCAGACGATAAGAGTGTAATCTTTCTAGCATTTTATATTACTTTCTACACATTTTTATACTGAGAAGATTTCGATTATTTATTTAAAATTTTTCATTAGTGAGGCATTCTTATTTTACATTCTTATAAATTTCTTTCACAACATAGGACTTCTCCCTTAAGGTGTGGTGACCATAGCTTTCCCACCATGAAAGCACCCATGTTCCTCCACCATAGTCCATTTTATGCCCTTCCCCTCTCCAATTCCTTCTACCCTTCTCTCTCCTCCTCCTTCACATCTATGGTTTGCTTTCAGGGCTGTTTTCTGGTTTGTCTTTGTCTGAGCCTTTGTTTAATTCAGGAGATAAATTTTAATCTATGGAGGCAGAGACTGCATTTCCTGGAGCACAAAATCGTCAATGAATCTAGTCTGGTCTACAACTAGTCTAAAAAGAACTTTGATGAAAAATAGATATTTCAATAACAGTAATAGTATTTTACTTTTGCTTTTCTTCCCATTGTTAAAATCTGTTTCCTCTCCCTTTCCCCCTTATAAAATAATATTTAGGTTGCAGTTAGTCCCAGGATGGAAGATGGAAATTTGCAACTGTAGAAGAAGAAGATGGTGTTTGCAACTGCCTGCCCCATAGGGCTAAGACATGGATGTATGCCCTGGCCTAGGATGTGATGGATTCTGAAGAGCTCTGTTTGTGCTGTTCCGGAGTAGGACCACACCCAAGAAGATTTTTTGTAGGCAGGTGACCTCAGAAGAATGATGTTAATACTTTGGATACAGAAGGTTAGTAGGAGTGTTAAATGGCCTGCCAGAGAGGCTGTTAATCTACAGAAACAGATGAAAATGTTAACAGAGGGAGGGAATGGGTTTCAGAAAAATCCTCAAAAGCACCCTGATTGTGGAAGACTCTGCATTTTGGATCTGCTACCCCCAGAAAGCACTCTCTGCTAGATCACAACTGAGGCTGCTATGTAAAACCTTGTTCCTTACCTCTTCTCTCATGATTTTTCCTTCCACCCATGCCTGGAATGATCCCAAAGAGTAGCTAGTGAGACTATAGAGAGTTATACTAAGATGAGCATACATGTCAGCTCTGCCATTAATTCCTCCTCCCTCCTCTCCATGTGTTTATTAGTTTTGTCTTCAATCCTTGGATTTTTGCATGAAACCTATGCCATATGACCATTTTGTGAGCATTATTTTTTCTTAAAATAGGTACAGTAATCTGTAAACCTAATTCACTCAGCACACAGATTGTAATTCACCTTGACAGACTCTACTGTCCCCATTAATCCCATTATATTGTGGCGTTCCTTCTCCCTCACATACATTGCTAGTGCCACAGTAACACATACTTTCTGACACATAGTCCTTGAGAGGATATTGGATATTGCTAAAAGCCAAATTTTCTTAGTTTTTTAAAATAAAAATAAATAAAAATAGAAGGCATTTTCCACCATTATCCCAAGGATTTTTTTTTTCTTCTCATTCTTTTCAATACATGCGTTCTACTTTGGATTATTTCATGTGCCTCTTTGGAGAACTTACTTTGAAGTGACCCCATTGCTTGCAAAACAGTTCAGTGAGATCAGGTGACATGCGTTCTAATGACATAAGCATAGACATAACAGATTTTATTTGAATCTTAAAGAGACTGGACCAAATGACAGCCAAACAGATCAAAAAGTCTCCGTCTATCCAGTGTGATTAAGATGTCTGATACCTAGGTCTCTTCCTGCTTTTCTGCAAGAAGAAGGGTAACAACAGATTAATAAGTCATATTACAATGGAAAAATGTAATCTATTTTTGTTACTTTGCTTATAGGCAGAAATTAGGGGCTACATTGCTTAATTTATCTTGGAAATTGCTTATTGAGTAGTTTGACTGTAGTGACTTGATAGCTATTATGTTCCAAGAATTTTCATCAAACCCAGGAACTTGGATCTCTCAATTTCATTAAATAACACAAATCAAAATGTTTTCCTAGAGTGCTTTAGGGCCTTTGTAGGATAAAGCTAAGGCATTCATGATAGCTCAATACTACAGTGAATGTTATTTTTCTGCTGGTTAAAAAAGACTGTACTTCCTTAGAAAAAATATAGTATTTCTAATTGTAACTTTATATTTATTTCATGTAGGATAAATTATTATTCTCTGTTCATTGATGCATTTTGAGATGGGGCAGATATCTAATGTATAAACATATTATAAACCTCTTTGACAGGGAACCTATTCTGGTATCTTCAACATTAGCTCATTACATTCCATGGGTCCATCATCATAGGTTGGTTCATTGACACTTTCTGGAAGCAAGGCCAGAGGATTGCTGTAAAGGACCCTTGAAAGCAAAATCAGTGAAGTCAGAGCTGAAACATTATTCTCACATCTTACTTTGTAGAGTAAATTTGATGGGGTGAAAAAAATCCCATTCTGATAGAGAAATTATGACCTAAAACTAAGTCTACTTGACCACTTTTAGGTTTGCTTTCTAGCTGTTATACAATAAGAGTTATGAAAAATGTTAACTGCTGTGGCTGAACCATTATTTTTTTTCTTACAAACTTCTTCATTTAAGGATAAAAATCTAAGCACTCTAAGGAATCTTTATAATATCAATTAAAATTTTATTTTATTTTTTGCAGGAAACTTTTTAATGATTCTATTCCAAGTACCCTTCCTGGCTAAACATAAAGGAATTGACCAGATGGCTAACACTGAAAAATAAATGCAACTTTTATTGACCTGATTTCACCATTTGAGTAAATGCATTGGTAATTTCAGGAGAGGTTTGGTGTTATATGAGATATTGAGCAAGTTAGTAACAAAGCATGAGGAGACTAATATATATGTATTTTTATGAAGGCAAAGAGAGCAAGAGCATTTAAATAGTTTTTCAGAAATATGTTTTTGCCTAAATTTTATTTACCATATATTTTTTCCCATTAGTGTCCCCTGAATTGTGCTAAAAATAACAGGCTAACAGTTTTATGAAAAGATTCATTATTTATGGTCAACTAATCTTTGACGAAGGAACAAAGAATATGTACTGGAGCAAAGAAAGTTTGTCCAATAAATGGTGCTGGGAAAACTGTCGCCACATGCAAAGGAATGAAGCTTGACTACTACCTCACACCATGCACAAAAACCAACTCAAAATGGATTTAAGAACTAGACATAAGACCTGAAACCATAAAATACATAGAAGAAAATATAGGCGAAACACTACATGACATGCACCTCAAAGACATCTTTACAGACACATCACCCAAAGCAGTGATAGTGAAGGCAAAGATAAAGAGCTGGGACTACATCAAATTAAAGAGCTTCTGCACAGCAAAAGAGACAACAACCAAAACAAAGAGAAACCCCACCGACTGGGAGAACATTTTTGCACACAACACTAACGATAAAGGTCTGATCACAAAAATCTACAAAGAGCTGATGAGACTCAACAAAAACAAAGAAAATAATCCAGTCCAAAAATGGGCAGAAGAGCTAAAAAGAAACTTCTCTGAAAATGAAATGCAAATGGCCAACAGGCATATGAAAAAATGTTCAACATCACTTGTAATCAGGGAAATGCAAATCAAAAGTACAATGAGATATGATCTCACACCAGGGAGAATGGCATATATTAAAAAAAAACTAGCAACAACAAATGTTGGCAAGGTTGTGGAGAAAAAGGAACTCTCCTGCACTATTGTTGGGAGTGCAAACTGGTCCAACCACTATGGAGAGCTGTGTGGAGATTTCTCAACCTACTGAAGATAGAGCTTCCATCTGATCCAGCAATCCCACTCCTAGGTATTTACCCAAATGACACAGAAACAGTGATTCCAAAGGGCACCTGCACCCCTATGTTTATAGCAGCACTATTTACAATAGCTAAGCTTTGGAAACAACCCAAATGCCCAAAAATAGATGACTGGACCAAGAAGATGTGGTATACATACACAATGGAATATTACTCAGCAATCAAAAAAGATAAACACATGCAGTTTGCAGCAACATGGATGGAACTAGAAGGGATCAAGCTCAGCGAAATAAGTCAGAAAGAAAAAGAAAAATACTGGATGGTCTCACT